GACTCGCTGGGGGAAGCGCACGGAGGGGCAGAGGAGGCTGAATGCTCCGAGGTCAGACCCAGGAAGGTGGAAGCTGTGTGAGCTGTGTGTCCTGCAGACAGGCTGCTCACAGAAAGGCGACTGCCCCAGAGTCCTGACTGGCTTCATGGGGAGCAGTTCCAGAGCATCGCCCAGGGACTCCGTGACAAGAGGACCTTCCCTCTTATCCCATGACTGCTTGTTTTGCTTAAGAGCCTTTGATGAGGGACCTTGTCAAAGGCTTTCTGAAAGTCCAAGTACACTATATCCACTGGATCCCCCTTGTCCACCTGCTTGTTGACCCCCTCAGAGAATTCTAGTAGATTGGTGAGGCATGATTTCCCTTTACTAAAACCATGTTGACTCTTCCCCAACACATCATGTTCATCCAGGAGTCTGATGATTCTGTTCTTCACTACAGTTTCAACCAATTTGCCTGGTACTGAAGTCAGGCTTACCTGCCTGTAATTGCCAGGATCACCTCTGAATCCCTTTTTAAAAATTGGCATCACATTGGCTATCCTCTGATCATCTGGTACAGCAGCTAATTTAAACGATAGGTTACATACTGCAATTAGGTTACATACTGCAGGGTGGGGGAAGCTTACACCACTGCAAATCCCCTCAGACTCAGGACTGGGTCCCATGAGGACCAGCCCTGGGATAGGGGAGAGGAGCTGGCAGTCAGATGGCTGAGTCCCATGGGTCCCAGCTGCTCTCCTTGGGCCTGTTCTTCCTGCTGCCCGAGCTGTATGCAGAGATCTGAGCCAGTTGCCCAGGGGCTCCTAGACCCACACGTCTCCTCTCACTGCTCAGACCTGCCTGGGGTGGGTCGCACCCATTCCTTGGAGAAGCTGTTGGGCTCATCCCTTCCCTGGGCTGCCCCCAGGCAGAGAGGCTGCCTGGCGGCTCCGACAGGTTTGGCCAGTTACAAGTGCCTGGGAACGTGAGTGGGCGTGGGGCTGGGTGACAGACTCCTGCTCCCAGCCCTGGCATGTACCCAGGAAGGGGCTGGCGTTCACTGTGCATCCCAGACTAAGCTTTGGGGTCTCCGCTCCCCTCTGCTGGCCACACCGTGTCACAGGCTTAGGGCTCTGCTCCTGCGCCCTCCAGCCAGGGGCGTCGGCCCTGGCACTTGGGTAGTGGTGCCTCCCGCTTTCAGAGCCAGAGGCCATGGGTTCAAGCCTCTATTTACAATAGTTCCAATATGCTAATCCTGAGACCGAATCCCATCTCCCCGGGCTGCCACTGCCCTGTACCCCATAGGTACCCCTAAACACCCTACTGAACCTGGTGAGGGCCACAGGCCGAGCGGTGCTCTGTGCTCCTCCGTGCCCACCCCTGCCCTCCGCTGGGATAGGCTGCATCCCCCTTGGAGCTTGGCACTGCTGAGTGCTGTGCCAGTGACCTCCTTCCTCACTGGCTGCAGGACTCCCAAGGCCCCGTACACCGCGCACCTGAAGCCTAAATAACCCCATACTCCTCATCGATGTTGGAGCGACTGACAGAGTCACTGCAGAAGCCAGGCGTCTGAAGGCAGCTGTTCTCCTGCTGGATGGCAAACACAGGAGAGAAGTTGTGGGGTACAGGGGGTGCCGGGTGGGGTGTGGCCTATCTTGGCTGCAGCCTGGGGCACCCTTCTCCCTGGGGTGGGATAGGAAGTTACCCCTTGAACAGCAGTTGGGGAAATCAGGATAGGCCTGACTCCCTGCAAAGCTTCTCGTAACCCAGTAGTCGCTCCAGGCTCCCAGGAGCCGGTGAGGCAGGGAAGCAGGGTTCCCAGCATTGGTAGGCCCACTCCAGGGCTGCGTCGTCACCCCTGAGCTGTGTACATGCAAGGAACCCATTTCTCCTCCTGGAGATAACCCCATTGCTCCAGCCCCTGGGACAGAGAGAGTCCCCACCTGTCCAGGTGGGCTGCATCAGGGTCTCTTGGTTAAGGGAACTCACAGCACGCATGGCCACCCTTAGCTCTGCCTGGTTGCTGTACCCATCGCGGGGGCTTTCCTCAGTCCATCCACAGTAAATCCTTCACATCCTCAGCTCCAGCAGGGCACCCACCCCGCCCCACCCCACACACACACGCCAGGTGCAGCATTTGTGGGGCATTTCCCTTTGCAGCTGAAAACATTATCGTCCCTTTGGCCCCAGCTAGGGTAACCAGATAGCAACTGTGAAAAACTGGGACGGGGGTGGGGGGTAATAGGCACCTATATAAAAAAAAGTCTCCAGAATGGGACTGTCCCTTTAAAAACGGGACATCTGGTCACCCTAGCCCCAGCGGTTCATTCAGGCCTTGCCAGGCTGTTTCCATTAGAAGCAGAAATGGGGGCTACGTGTCAGGGCTGTTCTTTGGTGCAATCCCATTTCTGCCCAAAGAACGCAGCCAGAGTCCGGTCCCCTGTGCCCAGCAAAGAAACAGGAGGCAGGTCCCTTGCTCAGAAATCCAAGGCTGCCCCTCCAGAGAGCTCCCTGCCCAAAGGCAGCCCAGTCTCTGCTTCCTCCAGGGCCCCACTCTCTGCTGCATCTCTTGCAGCCTGGCTGCTTTTTCACACACAACAAATCAGTATCCCCCCTTTGCCCACCCCCCACATTTGCAATCAATCCCAGGAAAGCTCCTTAGCTTGTGATTAGCTTTGCCATGAGGTTCATTGCCTTGGACAGTGGCTTCCTGGTGTTTCCAGCTACCACTACACAAAGGGACATTTAATGGCTCCATTCCTTTGGCCTGAATGACAGGTGCTTAGCACAGCCATTGACTTTAACCAGTTCTTTGACTTTCTATAGATCAAAGACACGTTTGTTGAAAGCCACTAACACCTTCCAGGGTAACAACATGGACACAAACAGAGACACCCCAGGGAAGGCGCCCACGGGTAGCGACACAGGCAAGACGGACTCCAAAGCTGCTGGGTGAGGGGCCGAGTGCCGAGAGACACCAAGCACTGTGGGTCACCTCAGCTGTGGGGTGCAGAGCCGAGTGGGTGGGCTAGCAGGTTTAAGACTTGGGGCAGCCAGACCCCCCCCCCCACCACACAAAGGGGGCCCAGGCCAAGCCCTGCTGACTGAAGCAGGGTTAGGGCCTAGGAGGGCAGTGGCAGCGCTGGGCTCTTGCGCTAAGTCACCAGTCCCTGCCCCTCCGAGCATCTTACTGGGGAGAGCACCCAATAGCAGAGTCTCCTCCCAACCAAACCAACACCCAGCACAGGCCAGGCAGGCCCATCCTCACACTGACAGCAGGGAGCCACGGGCCACAGGCCAGTAGGGTCACACCTGTGTGGGACACTGATGGGAGGATAAATCCATGCTCTGAACAACTGCAGGACAGAGCTGGGATAGAACCCAGGAGTCCTGGCTCTCAGCTGCCCCCAGCCTCTAACCACTAGACCCCACTGCCCTCCCCAAGCCAGGAAAGGACACCAGAGCCCTAGCCCCCAGTCCCTGCCACCAGTCTAACCACTAGACCCCACTCCCCAAGTGAGGCTACAACCCAGGAGTCCTGGCTCCCAGCCCCCCGCTCTAACCCAGGAGACCTGCCTGTCCCCTGCTCTTACCCCCACTCCCCTCCCAGAGCAGGGAAAGAACCCAGGAGTCCTGGCTCCCAGCCCCCGCTCTAACCCAGCAGACCTGCCTGTCCCCTGCTCTTACCCCCACTCCCCTCCCAGAGCAGGGAAAGAACCCAGGAGTCCTGCCTCCCAGCCCCCGCCGGCGCTGACGGCTCTAGGTCTCTGCCCTGCCCTGGGAGGCGGGGGGTGGAGCCGTGGCCGCGTCACCCGGCAGGAAATCACAGCGCGTGAAGGGCCACAAGATCCCACCCCTGGTTCAGCCCCGCCCCAGCCCAGCCAATCACCTTCCTCCGCCGGAGGGCCGGTGCCCAATCGTCATCAGCATGGCGGGAAGGGGGCGGGGCTGTGCCAATCCCAATCCCAACAGCCGCGATAGGTACGTGGTACGGGGGGGATCCGGAACCGGGGGCGGGGCCTGTTGCAGGGGCGAGATGAACAGGTGCTGGGGGCGGGGTGAACAGGTGCTGGGGGCGGGGCCTGCTGCGGGGGCGAGGTGAACAGGTGCTGGGGGCGGGGCCTGCTGCGGGGGCGAGATGAACAGGTGCTGGGGGCGGGGCCTGCTGCGGGGGCGAGATGAACAGGTGCTGGGGGCGGGGTGAACAGGTGCTGGGGGCGGGGCCTGCTGCGGGGGCGAGATGAACAGGTGCTCGGGGTGGGGCCTGTTGCGGGGGCGAGATGAACAGGTGCTGGGGGCGAGGTGAACAGGTGCTGGGGGCGGGGCCTGCTGCGGGGGCGAGATGAACAGGTGCTCGGGGTGGGGCCTGTTGCGGGGGCAGGGTGATCAGGCGGTGAGGCCGGGGCTTGCTTCATGGGGCGGTAGGGGGCAGAAGTGGGTTGTGGGATTGTGTCCAAGTTGTGGCTGCCACCTCCCCCCCCTGCGTCCCTGATTTCACTGAAATTCCCAACCTTTGGGCCCCTCTGGGGTTGGACCACTCCACTCTCCATTTGCACCCCCCCGAAGGGGGCAGACCCCCCCCACTGCCTGTGCCCCCCCGACAGGGGTCAGGGTTGGGGACTGTGGGCATGGGCATGGTCAGAGGCTCAGAGGCCGTGGGGATGGGCAGGGACTGCAGGGGGAGCGGGGCTAGGGGCTCAGAGGTTGTGGGGATGGACAGGGGATGCAGAGGGAGGGGGTTAGGGGCTCAGAGGCTGTGGGGATGGGCAGGGGCAGCAGGGGGAGCGGGGCTAGGGGCTCAGAGGTTGTGGGGATGGACAGGGGATGCAGAGGGAGGGGGTTAGGGGCTCAGAGGCTGTGGGGATGCGCAGGGGCAGCGGGGGGAGAGGGGTTAGGGGATCAGAGGCCTTGGGCATGGACAGGGAGTGGGGATTAGGGGATCAGAGAGTATGGGGATATGTAGCGGGTGCAGAGGGAGGGGAGTTAGAGGCTCAGATGCCATGGGAATGGGCAGGGGGAAAGATCAGTGGCCGTGAAGGTGGGTGGGGGTCAGCGGCTGTGTGGATGAGAGTTGGGGATGGGGGGGGACTCTGGGTCCTCCCCGGACAGGCTGACCTACCCCCTCCCAACCAGCATGAACCCCTATGTGGGTTTGGTGAGCAGCCTGCGCGCTGCGTGGCTCACGGGGAAGACGCGCACCGCTGAGCACCGGGTCTCCCAGCTGGAGGCGCTGGGCCGCTTCCTGGATGACAAGAAGCAGCCTATCCTGGATGCCATGGCCTCGGACATGCGCAAGGTGAGCCGGGTGGGGCTAAGCCCAGCGCAGGGCAAGTGGGGGGCAGGTCTCCCTGTAGGGAAGGGTTGGAGGGGGAATGGGGGTCTCCCTGGGGATCCCCCACGGCGCAGTTAGCAGGGGGTGCACTGGGGACTCATCTGCCTAGGTTTCTGGCCCACCCTCCTACCCGCAGGATCCGAGGGCTCTGGGTTGTGCATTACGCGAGGTGACTGCAGCATGTGGTCCCCTCTCTTCTCCCCTGGGGGCGGGACTGTGTGTGCAGGTGGGGGTGTTTTGGTAGGGTCTAGTTAAATGTCCTTGCTGCTCTGGGTTCTGTCAGTGAAGGCCACTGGGAGCAGCACCTGGCCCTTAGAGGGGAAGGCTGGGATGAACCGTAGTTCCCAGGACAGTTCATTCCCTGGGCTGTGACCGGCCCCGGAGGAGGCTCTGTCTCCTGCACAGACCAGCTTTGCCTGGTGGCAGAGAGTCCCCCTGGCCCAAGGAGTGGAGCTGTCAACGCCGGTCCTCCTCCCTGGGCTTTAGGCTCTGTTAGATACGCCGGGCCCAGGCCATGGAGCGCTGAGACGCGCCCGACCCAGCCCTGGTCTCTCTTGTCCATGGGGCACCAGTGCAGGGCGAGATTATGGGGTGAGGGCTCCTGTGGTGCTGAGGAGATGTGCTACGGTGACTTGCCCCAGCTGGCATTTCCTGCGGGCGGGACGGCTCTGTGCCCAGGCCTGTCGCGTTGCTTGGGGCCAGCTGGGAGGTGACAAAGGCAAGAAGATCTGAGGCCAGGGATCGCCTACCAGCATGGGTCAGCATCTCCTGGCTGCCCGGAGCTGGCAGAAGGCCTCATGCGCCCAGGTGGCTGTGTGAGAGTCTGGTGTTGGCGCAGAGTCCAGGCACCACTGGCCCGGGGACCGCACTGACCCATGAGGGGTCCTTTTGCCAGGGGAGATGGCACTGCATCTGCCCCCAGCCCCGTGAGCTTCCCCCAGCTGGTCCTATCCCTGCCCCACACCGCCCCCAGGGTCTGTAGTGGTGGATGGGCAGAGCTGTGTATCGGGTGGGGGGGTCCCTGATGGGTAGGGGTTGAAGATAACGCTGCTCTATGCCCCCAGCCCCGCTTGGAAGCGGAGCTCTCTGAGGTCATGCTGGTCAAGAACGAGGTCAACTACGCGCTCAACAACCTGTCCAGCTGGATGAAGGACGAGTTTGTGGTGAAGAATCTGGTAATGGGGAGATGCGCCCCCGGGGCTGAGCTGCGGGGATAGGGGAGGAAACACACCCACAGGTCGAGGCCTGCGGCGGGTGGGAACAAGCATCCAGGGCTGAACTGGGACGTGCCCCCATGACCGTGCTAGGACTCCTATCCCCACGGGCGAGTTCAGTCCCCCCCTGGACCTGGGACCTGTTCTGCCCAGGTCCTGATGCCGAGGCCTCCCCTGCAGGTTACTCAGCTCGACACGGCCTTCATCCGGAAGGAGCCCCACGGCGTGGTGCTGATCATCGGGCCCTGGAACTACCCCTTGCACCTCATCCTGGTGCCCCTGGTTGGGGCCATCGCTGCTGGTGAGTCGGACCTAAAACTCCAAAGCCTGGAACCTGCCCCAGGCAAAGAGGTCCCACCCCCAGCATGGTGCCCAAGTGCTCCAAGGCAGGGCTCCTGACCCAGAGCCTTGCCCCAGCACCAAATGAGGCTCCTGGTGTTTTCTTGGGGGGCATATCCTTGCAGTGCTCCCCAGTGGTGGGTCGGGGTGCTGCGGCAAGGCCCTGGGGAGGGGAGGTGTCTGTGCTGCTTAGTGATGTCCCGCCTGCCCCACCAGGGAACTGTGTCATCATCAAACCCTCCGAAATCAGCAGCAGCACTGAGAAGCTCGTGGCTGAGGTGCTGCCCAGCTACCTGGACAAGGTAAGGAGCTGCCCCCTCCCCTGGCACCATGCCCATTTGTTCCTCAGGCGCTGAGCCACTTCTTCATGCCTAGCACCATGCCCAGCCCCCTGCCCCAGCCTCCCACACCCAGCTATCCTCTGTGTTCCCCAATACCTCGACCACTGCATCCCCACACCCACTGAGCTGCTCCCCAGTGCCCCCTTCCCCCCCAATGCCCCGTCAGTGCTGGTAGCCAGAGTGACGGGGACAGGGCCACAGGGAGCAGAGAGGGGAAACAGTACAGTAATGGGCAGGAGTGGGGCAGAGTAAAGGAGGCAGGATGAGGATCACCCCAAACACCCTCCCCTCTCCGATTGCAGGACTGCTTTGCTGTGGTGACTGGGGGCCCCGTGGAGACCACCCAGCTGCTGGAGAACAAGTTTGACTACATCTTCTTCACTGGTATGTCCTGAGTGGCCCAGCCCTTCCCATGGTTCCCTCCCCTTCCACACCAGAGGGCACTGTCCAGCCCCACTCACACACGTCCTCTGCCTACCCTCTCCCAGGGAGCTCCCCCCAGAGCCCATTGCCAGGGCCCACACTTGGGGCCTGGCCAGTGGCTCTGGGCCCCTCGGGGTTCTCCTGACTGGGCCAAGAGAAGGCTCTCCAGGGCTGGGATCCCAGCTGAGTGACTCTCCGAGCCCTGAGGCCCCTGAAGACTGGGCCTGGGAGTGACTGGAGCTCCCAGCCAGATGCAGGGTCCTTCCTCCTCCTGGGCGAGGCCGAGGCTGCCTGCATCCTTGGGTGGAAGAGTGGCAGGTCTGTGCCCTGACGCGTCTCCCCAACCCCCACAGGCAACCCCCAAGTGGGCAAGATCGTGATGGCAGCTGCGGCCACGCACCTGACGCCGCTGACGCTGGAGCTGGGGGGCAAGAACCCCTGCTACGTGGCTGACGAGAGTGACATGCAGAATGTGGCCAACCGGCTGGTCTGGGGGCGCTGCTTCAACGCGGGGCAGACCTGCGTCGCGCCCGACTACGTGCTGTGCAGTGCGGAGACGCAGGAGAAGCTGCTGCCCGCCCTGCGCCACGCCATCACCCAGTTCTTCGGCCCCGACCCCCGGGAGTCGCCCGACTTCGCCCGCATCATCAGTGACAAGCAGTTCCAGCGCATCCGGGCCCTGCTGGGCAGTGGGCGCGTGGCCATCGGGGGGCAGACGGACGAGAAGGAGCGCTACGTCGGTGAGGGCCCTGGCCAGGGTGCAGGGCTCTGGGGGACCCATGGCCAGGGAGCTGGGTTCTGGCCTGCGGATCCAGGGGAGCCCTGATGGTGGAGAAATGAGCGCTGGGAGCTCTGGTGGCAGGGCAGGGCCTGTGGGGAGCTCCGGTGCCAGGGCAGGGCTGGATGAGGGCAGACCCATGGCAGATGAGGGCTGCCATGTGCTCCTGTGCAGTGAGTGATGCCCCCTCCCCACAGCCCCCACGGTGCTGGTGGACGTGCAGCCGTCGGAGCCTGCCATGCAGGAGGAGATCTTCGGGCCTGTCCTGCCCATCGTCACCGTGCCCAACGTGGACGAAGCCATCGCCTTCATCAACAGCCGGGAGCGGCCACTGGTCGTGTACGTCTTCGCCGCTGACAGCAAGGTGCGGGGCAGGGATCTAGGGTTAGTTCTGCCTCAGGACTCATGCTGGAACCGGCCTTTCACCCATTTACTGCTGGGCCAGTGCAACCCCCCGCCCCGACCCTGGGGCCAGTCTCCACAGGAAAATGGCTCTGCTTTGCACCCCAGGTCAGCCGCCCCCCATGTGGACACTCTTGGCTGGGTTCGGGAGCAGATGCACTGGACTTAGCTCCAGTAGATTGGGAAGAGGCCAAAGCTGAATCCCTGTGAAGCGGAGTGAAAGCGTCCAGACGGGGGTGGTACTGTGAGACTGTACGACTGACATGAAACCAGCCCAGGTCTCTGTCAGCCGTGAGGACACAACTGGGGCCCTTCAGGGGTCCGCACAAGGCCCCAGCCGCAGAGTCACCCTCTGGGCATCATGAGCACAGTGCGTGGCACTGGCTGGTGGGTGGCAGAGGCTGCCCTGGTGCCTGTAGCCCCCTTGCTTCTGTGTCGGACGGTCTGACTGTCCTGGGCGAACATGTGGGGCACCACCCTGGTGGGAGAAGTGGGGAGGAGCGTGGCTGTTACAAGGCGAGGGCTGAACTGCACCTGCCTGGGCAGTGATGTAACCGCATGGCGAGGGCAAGGGGGCAGGAGAGGACGGGCTGGAGAACATGGCTGGGCTGGGTAGGAATTGGAGAGACGGCCCCAGTGTCCCAGACCCTGCCCCGGGCCTGGTCGCCCTTCCCAGAGGGAAGCAGCTGTGTGGGAGGGGCTCCTGGCCAGCTGATGGGGTGGCACCCACCCCCAGCTGCCCCAGTATCAGGCAGGAATGGGGCTCCCTCACTCCCCATCTCTGCTTCCCCCCAGCTGGTGCACCGGGTGCTGGAGCGGACGAGCAGCGGTGGTTTTGGTGCCAACGACCCCATAATGCAAATGACGCTGCTCTCACTGCCCTTCGGTGGGATTGGTACGTCTGGGCCCCCAGCCTGCCCCTGTGCCCTGCCCCCCAGCCTGGGGCCGAGCCTCTGGGGGGCTGCTAGATGCACAGCCTGTGGAAGGGGCCTGTCTGCCATGGGGCTCCTGGAACAGGCTGTGGCACGTCGGGGCCTGGCTCTAATCAGCTCCAGCCATCACAGCCCGGAGCCGTGCAGCCTCTCACTGCTGACCAGCTGCCTCCAGATATCCGGGCTGGGAGCAGGGCCCAGTGTCTCTGCCCAGGGCATGGTGCATACACTGGGCCTTGGCTTGGGCACTGGGACTGCACAGAGCGGCCCACGGACACGCTGCTTGGCTGCATCTCCTCCGATGTGACCAGGGCCTGCAGCTATGCCATGGCTGAGCTGCGCTGTATGGGCAGGGCCTTGTGGGCTGGGATCATACTGTGTGTGTGTGGTGGGGGCTCAGCCCCGTGACTGAGCCACGCTGTGTGGGCAGGGCCCCGTGGTCAGGGATCATACCGTGGGGCGGGGGTGTGGCTGGGCCCCGTGACTGTACTGTGGGGGGGGATGTTTGTGGCTGGGCCCCATGACTGAGCCACGCTGCATAGGCAGGGCCCAGTGGGCAGGGATCATACTGTGGGCAGGGCCCAGTGGGCTGGGATCGTACCGTGGGGGTGAGCGCGGCTGGGCCCTGGCATGTGCCCGTGTCCGAGCTCTGCTCTATTTCTAGGGAACAGTGGGCTGGGCTCGTACCACGGCAAGTTCAGCTTTGACACCTTCTCTCACCACCGCGCCTGCCTCCTGCGCAGCATGGGCCTGGAGACCATGAACTCCCTGCGCTACCCACCCTACAGTGAGCGCAAAATGGGGCTGCTATCTTCTGCCTCCGAGATCAAGCGCAAGGGTACCTGCGCCCTGCTGTGACGGGAGTGTCGGGCCCAGCCGCCCAGCACCGTACAACCCACAGGCTGCCTGACTGCCATGGGGGGAGAAGGCCTGGCTGACCTTAGGAGGGTCCCTCCAAAGGGGCTAAATAGTCTTCATCTGACTCCTTCATCTTCCTGGGGAGAGGGGCACAGCTTCTTCCATCCCATCTCTGGGAGCTCCTGCCCCTCCTAGCCCAGCCTCTTGCTTCCCCATCTCCAGCTGCTTGGGTAGTAGGGAGAGAGCTTCCCCTGTGTCTCCGAGCTGCCCCTACCCCACTGCCCCCATGGAGACAGATGCTGGGAGGGGGGAAATGCCCAGGGGGCTGCCTAGGAATGACCCCTCCAGGCCAGGTGTCTGCCCCACCGGGGAGACATGTAGGCCCTGTAATCCAAGTGGTGCCCTCCCACACTGGTGCCCCCCCAGGCTGCTGCTGTGTTGCCCAGGAAGGGCAGTGCCATCCTCTCAGTGCATGTTTGGGGAGGGTAGGTGTCCCGGAGCCGAAGGACCCTGCTCCAAGGGGGACGAGGGCCACAGGGGCAGCAAGGGCAGCTAGCAACCCAGCCTGCTGTCAGGGAATCACTCCTGCCTCAGACATGCCCGCTGTGCTGGCTTATCCTCATTCTCCCATCATGCTCTGTGCTCTCTGCCCATCGCTGCCTTTGCCCCCTGCTCTGTGCTTCGCCCTGTGTAGATTTTGGTTTAGTAAAGACTCAGCGTTGAACTCGCCTGCCTGGTCCTGCAGGTCCTTCGCCCTCCCTGGCTCTGGCTTGGCGGGCAGCATAGGCGGGGCTGGGGTGAGGGCACCAGAGAGGGGACTAGGCACAGCAGCCAGCAGGGCCAGCGTCACCCCCTGGTCTTCTCCCTGCTGCCAAGGAGCAGCTTGTGGGAGAAAGAAAGACAGGGAGCAACAGCCAGCATGGGGGAGTGGGGGGAGCCCTGCGAGTTGGGATTGAGGGGCACTAGCAGGCAGGTCTGTGGGTCAGCATTGAGGGCACTGGCATAGCTGGGGGTAGGAGGAGCCTAGGGATGGGCCAGCAGGGAGCTGAGGGTCAGGATTGAGGGCTATTGGAAGAGCTGTAGGGGGAGCCCAAGGCTGGGATAAGAGGGGGCTGTGGGTGGCCCCAGTGGGCTAAATTTAAAGTGTGCATTAATTTTCAAGTGGCCCAAGGCAGCTCTTCTGTTCTTCCCCATGGCCACAGCTCAGTGCCTCTGGGGCCAGGCACTCGAGGGCGAAGCCCCTGAGAGCTGGCTGTGGGCTCTCTGGGCAGTGGGGGTGTGAAATTCCTTAGCAGGGCCAGCCGCAAACCAAGGTTCCTCATGGCAGAGCTGGGAGTAGCCCCCGGGTGCCCAGGGGGACAGACTGGGTGGCTGAGCCCTGCAGCGCAGACTGACTGTGCCACATCGCTGTCTGCGTACGCGCAGACGTAGCCCCTCAGCCACACATACCTCCTTGGGCCCGAAACAAAACCCACGCCCATGAGCCCTGGCAAACAGCGAATCCCACGGGCCAAGGCTGGGTCCCCTCTGCTGTGGTTGACCCGCACAGCCTTTGTTCTCATAGCTGGGGCTGAGGGGCCCAGGTTCAAAGGCTGCTTAGGAGACCCCCTCCCGTTTTAGTGCACATGAAGGAGTTTGTGTTGTTCCAGTTTCCTTTTCATCTCACCTGTGGAATTGGCCCAGCGAGAAGAAGAGGGACTGACCCGCCAGGAACTGCTCCTACAGCCGCTGGGCCAGGGTATTCCACTTCAGATGGGCATGTGTCCTCATGCACAGTGGTAGTGTCCAGTGGGGCCATGACCGTGCTCCATAGATGAGGACACAAAGTGCCTCACCCATCCCCCGCCTAGCTAAAAACAGCTCCCATCACCTCACCCATCCATAGGTGCCAACTCCTGCTCGCACCAGTGGGTGCTCGACGCCCCTCTGCCCCCGGCCCCGCCCCGACTCCACCCCTGCCCTGCCGCCCCTGCCTCGACTCCATTCCAACCCCTTCCCCAGAGTCCCTGCCCCCTCCCTGCCCCTATTCCGACTCCTTCCTGAAATCCCCGGCCCAGTCCCACCTCCTCCCCTGAGCATGCCACGTTCCTGCTCCTCTCTGCTCCCTCCCGGAGCTTGCTACGCTGCCAAACAACTGTGGCAGCAAGCGCTGGGAAATAGGCGGAGGAGCAGGGATGCGGCACACTCGGAGGATGGGGGGGGCCGGGGAGGGGCTCTTGGCTGCCAGTGCATGCAGAGCACCCACTAATTTTTCCCTGTGGGTGCTCCAGCCCTGGAGCACCCACAGAGTCCGTGCCTATGCACCCATCCCCCTCCACCCAGGCTGACAACCCCCATTGCCTCACCCATCCTGCCTTGTCTAGCCACAACCATATCCCAGTCCTTGTCCCCCCTTAAAAACCATTCTGAATGAGATTTAGGAATTGTTTAAAAACATTTCATTAGATATCCAAAGAAGTCACAATCCAGAAGAAAGACCACACTGGCAAAAAAAAAACAACCTAACTTAGAGGGAAGTGAAGTCAGTAATAGAAAATATATATATAAGAAATGGAAGACAAGGCAGTTTGATAGTAATGGATAGAAATCAGAAGCTAGGAATAGTAGAAAAATGATAAGGGAAGCAAGAGGACTCAAGGAAAAATCCATTGCCAGCAGAGTTAAGGACAATACATTTTAAAAATGTACTAGAAACAAAAAGAATCATAACATGGTATCAGTCTATTGCTAGTTAGAAATAGAATTGTCAATAATAATGCCAGAAAAAACAAAAGTGTTATATAAATATTTCAGTTCTGTATTTGGGAAAAAGCTGTATGATGTAGTTGTATCATATGATGACTCTTTTCATTCCACTAGTATCTCAGCAGGATTTTAAACAGCAGCTACCAAATTTAGACATTTTTAAATCAGCAGGCCTGGATAACTTCCATCCAAGAGTTTTAAAAGAGCTGGCCGAGAGAACTGCTGGACCATTAATGATATTCAATACATCTCAGAAAATTGGGGATGTCCCAGAAGACTGGAAGAAAGTTAATGTTGTGCCAATAATTAAACTGGATAACCTGGGTAATTATAGGCCTGTCAGCCTTACAGCAATCCTGGACAAGATAATGAAGCAGCTGATATAGTAACCCATTAATAAAGAACAAAAAGAGGACAATGTAATAACTGCCCATCAACATGGGATTATGGAAAATAGATCCTGTCAAACCGCCTCATATCTCTTTTATGAGATTACAAGTTTAGCTGATAAAGGTAATAGTATTGATGTAATAGACTTCTGTAAGGCATTTCACTTGGTATCACATTTTGATTAAAAACTAGCATAATACAAAATTAACTTGTCACACACTAAATGGATTAAAAACTGGCTAAATGCCATATCTCAAAATGTAATTATAAATGGGAAACTGTCATTGAACACGTGTGTTTTGGGGGGGGGTGTCACCCAGGGTTCAGTTTTTGGCCCTATGCTATTTAACATTTTAATCAACAACCTGGAAGAAAACAAAATAATTGCTGATAAAGTTTGCAGATGATGCAAAGATTAGGGAAGTGGTAAATACTGGAGATTACAGGTCACTGATACAGGGTTCAAGCAAACCATATTCATTTGAATATGGCTAAACATAAATGTATACATCTAGGAACCAAGATGGCCACACCTACAGGATGGGGAACTCTATCCTGGGAAGCAGTGACTCTGTGAAAGACTTGGGGGTTGTGATGGATAATCAGCTGAACATGAGCTCCCAGTGCAAGACTGCAGCCAAAAGGGCTAATGCGATCCTGGGATGCATAAACAGGGGAATCTGGAGTAGGGGAGAGGTGATTTTACCTGTATATTTGGCACTGGTGCAACTACTGCTGGAATCCTGTGTCCAGTTCTGCTGCCGTTATGGGGTTTGCCAGTCACCACTAGGGGCACCTCCTGCTGGCTGCTCTGGGGCTCAGCTCTTTCAGCCTGGTGCCCTCTTCTTGCTGTTCCTTGGCCTGCTGTCTTGCTCTGGGGCCCCTCTCTTGCTCCTCAGAAGCTGCAGCGCCTCGTCTCCATAGTTTAGCCCTCCAGCCAAGTCACAATGGTCCTTCTCTTCCGAGGTTCTACAAAATCCTCCACAGCCTCCCAGGCACGTGCCCTCAGTGACTGGGATGAACAGTCCCAGACGGTCTTCACGATCACTGCCCGGATCGTGCCAGTCCTTCAGGGACTGTAGGGGAACCCAGGCCCACCCTCTATGCTGGGTTCTGGTCCAGGGGTCCTGTCTCCAGCAGCCAAGCTCTGTACTACCCCAAACCTTCCTGCCTCACCCCTAGAGTACTCCCTACCGTGCCTGTCCCAGGCTTGCATTGTCCACCCTAGCTAGACCCCTATGTCCTCCTGGTCTACTAGCCAAACCTTCCTCTTGGGGCCAATACCCCTTTCTCTCCTTATCCCAGGGACAGCGACTGCAGTTCTCCTCCCTGCAGCCTCTTTCTGCCACCAGCCGCCTGGTTTTATAGACGCCTCTCCTGTTCCACCACAGGTGAGCTTCCCTTACTTAGGGCTCTCCTCTCAGCCTAAATGGTACAGTAAGGAGGGTCAGCTCCCAAGGCTCACACTCCCCCACTCTTCTCGCAGAGGTAATTGCTACCCCAAACACCCCTTTCGTGGAAAGATGAAGGAAAGAGCAGGCAGCCATTGGTTCCAAGCGTGGACCCCTCGACCCTGATAATAGTAGATTTAAATTCCAAGGAAGGATTGAATCCGCCACCTAGGGAGATAGTCTGTCCAGACCCTTTAAGTACCCAACGGACATGCAATTGGAGAATCCTGAGTGACCTGCACTTGGTGGCTGGAAAGCAGAGATAGCTGCTAGTAAGCTCTGACAGAACTAACAGCCAGGCCTTGTTATTTCCAGCAGAACAAACAGTCCCGAACATGTTTTTATTCTGAGATCACGAGGAGAACTGCGTCCAATTTCACAGGTAAATTATCTAGGCAGAAGGCTTTCTGCTATTTAGGAGAATGTTTTGCATGTTCTCTGAACAGTCGGCCTCCTGCGGAGTCAACCATGGAGTGTCCATAGCGTGTGATGAAGAGCTGCTGGGTTGGGATGCAGCAGGCGACCATGCTCTTGTGAGGTCAGGGTGGTGAAACACTGGAATGCGTTACCTAGGGAGGTGGTAGAATCTCCTTCCTTAGAGGTTTTTAAGGTCAGGCTTGACAAAGCCCTGGCTGGGATGATTTAACTGGGAATTGGTCCTGCTTTGAGCAGGGGGTTGGACTAGATGACCTTCTGGGGTCCCTTCCAACCCTTATATTCTATGATTCTATGATTCTAGTTCTGGAGGCAGTGTCAAGGGAGGTCTGGCGGACAGGGTCAGCAGAGTAGAGAACTGAGGCCAAGCCAGTGCTATAAGGGATCATGCAAGCATGATCCTTCTTGATTTTTGAGCAGCACCATAGGATAAACATACATCTGTTTGTCCTTCCAGGGTAAGAGGAAGGTGTCTGTGAGAGATCCTTGTTACCTGCTCTTGAACAGAAATGAGTCTTACACAATCCAGCCTGAGAGATCCTTTTAAAGCAGCAGGTATGATATATTACTGGTCCAGATTTTATTCTGTTTGCACATCACAGATGTGATCAAGTCATGATCACTTACATCTAAGCCCCATTCATTTTCAGTTCTGTTATCAGTTCCTCTTTATCTGTCAGGACAAGAGCTTATAAAGAATTTCCCCCATGTTGGCAGCAATGCTTTCTGAGTGAGGAACTTGTCATCTATAACGTTTTGCAATTCAAGTGTGTTTCAGTGCTGATAGCAGGACACCTCCAGCATATGGCACTCAAATTAAAGTCCCCCATGAACACGCAGTGTTTTCCCAACACATTAAGATGTGTAAGGATCTGGTCACCCTACTCCCTAGTGCATGGGCAGTGCGTAATAGAGGCTAAGCCTCCTCAAACCTTGTGCAGCCGGGGCCACAGGGGGAGGGACGGAGTTCTCTGGTTCCCCCTCCAGCCCGGCTAGGCCATAGCGGGGCTGCAGCCTCAGCCAAAAGAGGCGGGGCAGGAGGGCTAGCCCTAGTGTGATTTGGTGGTTGTAGCAGACACCAACTAATACCCTGTGCTTTATCTGTTAGGACAGCAGGTCTCAAACATTAGCAACCTGAGGACCCGCATTTAGATTTAAATTTTTTTGCAGACTCCCAAGTCCCCTGCTCAGCCCTAGCCCCACCCCCCACTACACCCCTTCCCCCAAGGCCCCACCTCTTCCCACCCCTGCCCCTCATCTTCCCTGCCTCTTTCCACCCCCTCCCCCAAGTGCACCCCATCCCCATCCCCACTCCTCCCTGCTCCCTCCCAGCATTTCCTGCACCCCACTAAACAGCTGTGTCACGGCAATGCTCTGGAACTACTCCCCATGAAGCCAATCAGGACTCTGGGGAAGTCTCCTTTCTGTGAGCAGCCTGTCTGCAGGACACAAAGCTCACACAGCTTCCACCTTCCTGGGTCCGACCTCGGAGCATTTAGCATCCTCTGCCCCTCCGTGCGCTTCCCACAGCGAGTCCGCCCAGGCAGGCTCCTGGAGAAGTCAGAGGGTCCTGCACCCCAACTTCGCAGTCAGACATGACTCTCAGCTAGCCAGTAAAACAGAGGTTTATCAGACGACCGGAACATGGTCTAAAACAGAGCTTGTAGGTGCAGAGAACAGGACCCCTCAGCTGGGTCCATTTTGGGGGGCAGTGAGCCAGACAACCACTTCTGCACTTCACTCCATGTCCCACCAAGCCCCAAACTGAAACTCCCTCCAGCCCCCCCTCCTCTGGGCTTTGTTCCTTTCCCAGGCCAGGAGGTCACCTGATTCCTTTGTTCTCCAACCCTTTAGCTCTCACCTTGCAGGGGGCAAGGGCCAGGCCATCAGTTGCCAGGAAACAGGGTGTCGGCCATTCTCTGTGTCCAGACCCCTGCACACACCTGCCCTCTAGGGCTCTGCAATGATCATACACCCTTACCCCACCACCTAGATACTTAAGAACTGCATAGAGGAAACTGAGGCACCCCCACACTATTCAGAGGAAACATTAAGAACAGTCCCACTTCGTCACAAGCTGTTCCCCGCTGTGCTGTAGGCACTGGGAGGGAGGGAGAGGAGTTGAGGGAGGAACAGGGAAGAGTTGATCAGCAGGGCCGGTGGACCCCCTGGGGTATCCTCACGGACCCCCTGGGGTATCCTCACGGACCCCAGTTTGAAAAATGCTGTGTTAGGACATTGAGCCTTAAACATTCCAGATCATTTTCTTCCCTCGTCAGTAGGGGAAAGAGGAAGGCTGGAGAGTGTCTTTAACCCATGGAAGGTGGGGGTCAGATTTCCTAGGTCAGCTTGGGAGCTCAAGCCAGCTGCTCCTCCCCGGCATGGCAGTCAGGCAACACAGGAGTCGTGTGGTGCTGGGTGGCTGGGCTGGGCCACCCATCACAGCAGGGTGCAGGTGCCCGTATGCTTGATCCTGAAGGTGGAGAGGACCAGCCCCCTTTTGCGCTCGCTGTAGGGTGGGTAGCGCAGGGAGTTCATGGTCTCCAGGCCCATGCTGCGCAGGAGGCAGGCGCGGTGGTGAGAGAAGGTGTCAAAGCTGAACTTGCCGTGGTACGAGCCCAGCCCACTGTTCCCTAGAAACAGAGCAGAGCTTGGATACGGGCACAGGCCAGGGCCCAGACGCATCCACCCCCACGGTATGATCCCTGCCCACACACACACACACACACACACACACACACACACCCCCCCAACGGTACGATCCCTGCCCACCCCCACCCGCCCGCCCCACGGTACGAGCCCAGCCCACTGAGCTCTGCCCACACAGCGTGGCTCAGTCATGGGGCCCAGCCCCACCCACCCCCAGCATACGATCCCTGCCCATAGAGCGCGGTTCAGTCATGGGGCCCAGCCCCAGGCTGGAGGGCAGGGAACAGGGGCAGGCTGGGGGCCCAGACGTACCAATCCCACCAAAGGGCAGCGAGATTAGCGTCATTTGCATCACGGAGTCATTGGCACCAAAACCTCCGCTGCTCGTCCGCTCCAGCACCCGGCGCACCAGCTAGGGGGAAGCAAAGATGGGAAGTGAGGAAGCCCTCATTTGTGACGGATACCCACCCGCAGCTACCCCAGTGATGCCACATCAGATGGCCCGGAGCCCCTCCCACACAGCTGCTTCCCTCTGGGAGGAGTGACCAGGCCCGGGCGGAGTGCGGGGAGCCAAGCAGAGCCATCCTCCTGTGGAGAGTGGCCCCCAAGGTGGTGGGGTCGTACTGCCCCAGCAGCGAATGGATGAAAGGCCAGTTCCAGCATGGAGCTGTGGGCCCAGACATGAGTCCTCAGCCAGAACTAGCCCTAGATCCCTGCCCCGCACCTTGCTGTTGGCGGCAAAGACGTACACGACCAGCGGCCGCTCCCGGCTGTTGATGAAGGCGATGGCTTCGTCCACGTTGGGCACGGTGACGATGGGCAGGACAGGCCCGAAGATCTCCTCCTGCATGGCAGGCTCTGACGGCTGCACGTCCACCAGCACCGTGGGGGCTGTGGGAAGGGGGCATCACTCACTGCAAAGGGGCACATGGCAGCCCTCATCCGCCATCGGTCTGCCCTCATCCAGCCCTGCCCTGCCACCAGAGCTCCCAGCGCTCATTTCTCCACCATCAGGGCTCCCCTGGATCCGCAGGCCAGAACCCAGCTCCCTGGCCATGGGTCCCCCAGAGCCCTGCACCCTGGCCAGGGCCCTCACCGACGTAGCGCTCCTTCTCGTCCGTCTGCCCCCCGATGGCCACGCGCCCACTGCCCAGCAGGGCCCGGATGCGCTGGAACTGCTTGTCACTGATGATGCGGGCGAAGTCGGGCGACTCCCGGGGGTCGGGGCCGAAGAACTGGGTGATGGCGTGGCGCAGGGCGGGCAGCAGCTTCTCCTGCGTCTCCGCACTGCACAGCACGTAGTCGGGCGCGACGCAGGTCTGCCCCGCGTTGAAGCAGCGCCCCCAGACCAGCCGGTTGGCCACATTCTGCATGTCGCTCTCGTCAGCCACGTAGCAGGGGTTCTTGCCCCCCAGCTCCAGCGTCAGCGGCGTCAGGTGCGTGGCCGCAGCTGCCATCACGATCTTGCCCACTTGGGGGTTGCCTGTGGGGGTTGGGGAGACGCGTCAGGGCACAGACCTGCCACTCTTCCACCCGAGGATGCAGGCAGCCTCGGCCTCGCCCAGGAGGGGGAAGGATCCTGCATCTGGCTGGGAGCTCCAGTCACTCCCAGGCCCAGTCTTCAGGGGCCTCAGGGCTCAGAGAGTCACTCAGCTGGGATCCCAGCCCTGGAGAGCCTTCTCTTGGCCCAGTCAGGAGAACCCCGAGGGGCCCAGAGCCACTGGCCGGGCCCCAAGTGTGTGTCCTGGCAATGGGCTCTGGGGGGAGCTCCCTGGGAGAGGGTAGGCAGAGGACATGTGTGTGGGGGGGCTGGACGGTGCCCTCTGGTGTGGAAGGGCAGGGAACCATGGGGAGGACTGAGTCACTCGGGACATACCAGTGAAGAAGATGTAGTCAAACTTGTTCTCCAGCAGCTGGGTGGTCTCTGCGGGGCCCCCAGTCACCACAGCAAAGCAGTCCTGCAATCGGAGAGGGGAGGGTGTGTGGGGTCATCTTCATCTTGCCCCCTTTACTCTGCCCCACTCCTGCCCATTGCTGTACTGTTCCCCTCTCTGCTCCCTGTCCCCATCACTCTGACTACCGGCACTGACGGGGCATTGGGGGGGAAGGGGGCACTGGGGAGCAGCTCAGTGGGTGCGGGGATGCAGTGGTCGAGGTATTGGGGAGCACAGAGGATAGCTGGGTGTGGGAGGCTGGGGCATGGGGGCCAGCTTGGCATGGGGCAGGGGGCTGGGCATGGTGCTAGGTGTGCAGAAGTGGCTCAGCATCTGGGGAACAGGAGATGGATGTGGAGCCAGGGGAGGGGGCAGCTCCTTACCTTGTCCAGGTAGCTGGGCAGCATCTCAGCCACGAGCTTCTCAGTGCTGCTGCTGATCTCGGAGGGTTTGATGATGACACAGTTTCCTGGTGGGGCAGGCGGGACGTCACTGAGCAGCACAGACACCTCCCCTCCCAAGGGCCTCGCCTCAGCACCCCGACCCGGCACCAGGGGCCACTGCAGGGAGGTGTCCCTAGGGAACACACCAGGAGCCTCATTTGCGGCTGGGGCAGGTTGTGGGTTAAGAGCTCTGGCCCAGAGGATGTGGGTGTGATACTTCACCCCATATTCTTCACAGTGATATTATTATGATATGATTATGGCATAATTATGATGCACTTTATGCAAGACGGGTCATGTAAGGTGTCATTGGGAAGGTTATGATTTGCTGAATATCATTATCCTAGTTGTATGCATGTATCATTTTTGTATCTGAAGTTATAAATACTGACACTGTATCTATACTCAAATGTAGTTACACCTGGATAATGCCCACTAGACAAGATGCTTTTAGTGTAGATAGATGGCTGCGAAGAGCCTATTCAGGGCAATGGGCCATTAGGAAAAACAACAGGCCTTAAGAGAAGCTTATCCCCCACCTGGTGAGCCTTCCTGAGAACGCTACAAACAGCCTGTAGGTAATGGCTACTATTACTCTACAAGGACATGTGACCAGGCTACTCCATCTTGGGATGTCAGTATTTTCCCCACAAACTGGTCTGGGAAGCAACTGTGGAAACAAAGACTTCCCGCCATATGCTAAAGCTATATAAGGCAGGGAGTGACATCATCTGGGGTTCTTTACTCCCCACACAAGAAGACTCCTGGAAACACCAGGAACAAAGACTGAACCGGGAGAAGTGCTGGACCCAGGCTAAAGGGATTTCTAGCCTGTGTATGAAAGACCTGGGGATTCCACGCTGTAAAGCAAGTGCAGCTTGCCCCTTAAGTATCTACAGCCTGCTTGCATCATTTCTCAGGGTGAGAATCTGCTAATTCATATCCAATCTATTTAGTATATTAAGCTTAGTTTGTGTTTTTTATTTACTAGGTAATCTGCTTTGATCTGTTTGCCATCACTTATAATCACTTAAAATATATCTTTTGTAGTTAATAAACTTGTTTTTGTTTTAATCTAAACCCATGAACTTTGACTGGAGCGCTTGGGGAAAATCTCTACTTGGTTACCACAAGTATGCATTGCTCTCTTCATATTGAGGGTGAGGCGGACCTGGTATTAAACCCATATACTGGCGAGATTTGACCAGGGCAGGACAGTACTGCTCTGCAGTCCCAGGCTGGGAAGCTGGTGGTTAGAGAATCTGCGTGTAATTGCAGCTGGGTGTGTCCCTACCTGTGTGAATGCTGGTGAAAATGCAGGCTGGAGGGCTTTGTGGTTTGTCACAGCAGCACAGTGTGAGAGGGAGCCCAGGCTGGTGGGTCAGGGGACTCAGTGATATTCCAGTTCCAGGTGGCACCCCGGGGAGAACCCATCACAGTAGGGACCATGCTGGGGGTGGAAGCTCTGCCTGGAGCAGGTTTCAGGCTGGGGGGGTAGGGACCATGTGGAGGGGGAAAGTGTCCCTACTCCCTGACTCACCAGCAGCGATGGCCCCGACCAGGGGCACCAGAATGAGCTGCAAGGGGTAGTTCCAGGGCCCGATGATCAGCACCACCCCATAGGGCTCCTTCCGGATGAAGGCCGTGTCCAGCTGAGTCACCTGAAGGCAAAGCCGTGGCATCAGGATCTAGGGGAGCAGGTCCCAGGTCCTGAGGGGCGGGGGAGTGAACTGGGCCGTGGGGACAGGAGCCCTGGCTCAGCCGTGGGGGCAGGTCCCGGTTCAGCCTTGGGTGCTTGTTCCCGGCTGCCACAGGCCTAGGCCTGGGGGTGTGTTTCTCCCCCCATTTCACTTGCGGGAGGGGCACGTCCCCTCTCTCTCCCCACTCAGCCCAGAGGATGCGTCTCCTCCTTACCAGGTTCTTGTCCACGCCCTCGTCCTTCATCCAGGTGGACAGGTTGTTGAGTGCGTAGTTGACCTCATTCTTGACCAGGATAATCTCAGAGAGCTCCACCTCAAAGGGGGGCTGGGGGTACAGAACAGCGGTAGCTTCATCCCCCATCCTGGTCATGCCCATTCTGCCACTACTTCGAGCTGGATGCTGCGTGCCTCAGTGCATCCTACTGCCAGGCACTGGAGGTGCCTGAATCCCATAGCCAGCTGGCTGGAGAGCAGAATTGCTCCGGTGAACTGAATGGAGCCTGCCCCTGGGAACGGAGGCCCCGGAGGAGATTACGGATGCCCAGCCAGTGGGCCCTTAACCCTGACTGGCAGGGAGGCCAATGCAGACTGGGCTCCTGAGGGTGACAGCAGGTCTAGAGCTAGGGAGGACAGTGTTAACAGACTGGGCTTGCGGCTGCTACTGGGAAACAGAAGCACAGATGAGGGGAGAGCGAGTGCAGCTGGAGCTCAGAGGATCAGGGCATGGCACAGGGGCTACAGGGCGAGGGGCTGGCTCTCTGGCTTCCACCAGTGTGAGCTCTGCCCTACACTCCACTCCCCGTTTATGCTTTGCTGCCTTGCCGACCCTGGATTCCAGGTGACACAGGCTACCTGGTTTGGAAAGGGCTGTCTGGCATGGCCGCAGATCCTGACAGACAGGCATTGATCCCCGAGGGGGAAAAGGCTCTGAGCAGGAGTCTGGCTCAGTGGGACATGCTGGGCAGAGCTCTCAGGGTAAAGCAGGAGGGCTGGAGCCCAGAGGCTCCGGAGGCAGTGAGGCTGCGTGACCGGCCCTGGAGGAGGAATGGGACCTCTTGGGGGCCTGGTGCACAGAAGGGCTCCTCCGAGCAACTGTATAAGACTGGGACATAGACCAGACCCTGTGAATCCATGACACCACCAAGGCCTGGGACACAAAGCTCTGCCTATCCACCACTACAGACCCTGGGGGCGGCGTGGGGCAGGGGTGGGACCAGCTGGGGGAAGCTCACTGGGGTGGGGGCAGATGCAGTGCCATCTCCCCTGGCAAACAGTCCCTCCATGGGTCTGTGCGGTCCCCGGGCCAGAGGCACTTGGACTCCTCACCAACACCAGACTCTCACACAGCCACCTAGGTGCATGCCAGCTCTGGACGGCCGAGAGATCAGACCCATCACGGTGGGCGATCTCTGGCCTTGGATCTCCTCACCTTTGTCACCTCCCAGCTGGCCCCAAGCAACGCGACAGGCCTGGGCACAGGGCCGTCCCGCCCGCAGGAAATGCCAGTGGATGCAGGTCACCACAGCACGTCTCCTCAGTGCCACAGGCTGCCAGGAGCCCTCACCCCATAATCTCGCCCTGCACTGGCGCCCCATGGACAAGAGAGACCAGGGCTGGGTCGGGCGCGTCTCAGCGCTCCATGGCCTGGGCCCGGCGTATCTAACAGAGCCTAAAGCCCAGGGAGGAGGACCGGCGTTGACAGCTCCACTCCTTGGGCCAGGGGGACTCTCTGCCACCAGGCAAAGCTGTCTGTGCAGGAGACAGAGCCTCCTCCGGGGCTGGTCACAGCCCAGGGAATGAACTGTCCTGGGAACTACGGTTCATCCCAGCCTTCCCCTCCAAGGGCCAGGTGCTGCTCCCAGTGGCCTTCACTGACAGAACCCAGAGCAGCAAGGACATTTAACTAGACCCTACCAAAACACCCCCACCTGCACACAGACAGTCCCGCCCCCAAGGGAGGAAAGAGGGAACCACATGCTGCAGTCACCTCGCGTAATGCACAACCCAGAGCCCTCGGCTCCTGCGGGGAGCAGGGTGGGCCAGAAACCTGGGCAGATGAGACCCCAGTGCGCCTCCTGCTCTCTGTGCTGTGGGGATCCCCAGGGAGACCCCCATTCCCCCTCCAACCCTTCCCTACAGGGAGACCTGCCCCCCACTTGCCCTGTGCTGGGCTCTGGGCTCAGCCCCGCCCGGCTCACCTTGCGCATGTCCGAGGCCATGGCATCCAGGATAGGCTGCTTCTTGTCATCCAGGAAGCGGCCCAGCGCCTCCAGCTGGGAGAGCCGGTGCTCAGTGGTGCGCGTCTTCCCCGTGAGCCACGCAGCGCGCAGGCTGCTCACCAAACCCACATAGGGGTTCATGCTGGTTGGGAGGGGGTAGGTCAGCCTGTCCGGGGAGGACCCAGAGTCCCCCCCCATCCCCAACTCTCATCCACACAGCCGCTGACCCCCACCCACCTTCACGGCCACTGATCCTTCCCCCTGCCCATTCCCATGGCATCTGAGCCTCTAACTCCCCTCCCTCTGCACCCGCTACATATCCCCATACTCTCTGATCCGCTAATCCCCACCCCCTGCACTCCTTGTCCATCCCCAAGGCCTCTGATCCCCTAACCCCTCTCCCCCTGCTGCCCCTGCCCATCCCCACATCCTCTGAGCCCCTAACCCCCTCCCTCTGCATCCCCTGTCCATCCCCACAGCCTCTGAGCCCCTAGCCCCGCTCCCCCTGCTGCCCCTGCCCATCCCCACAGCCTCTGAGCCCCTAACCCCCTCCCTCTGCATCCCCTGTCCATCCCCACAACCTCTGAGCCCCTAGCCCCGCTCCCCCTGCAGTTCCTGCCCATCCCCACGGCCTCTGAGCCTCTGACCATGCCCATCCCCACAGTCCCCAACCCTGACCCCTGTCGGGGGGGGCACAGGCAGTGGGGGGGGGGGTCCTGCCCCCTTGGAGGGAGTGCAGATGGGGAGTGGAGTGGTCCAGCCCCAGAGGGGCCCAAAGGTTAGGAATTTCAGTGAAATCAGGGATGTGGGGGCAGCCCCGACTTGGACACAATCCCACAACCCACTTCTGCCCCCTACCGCCCCATGAAGCAAGCCCCGGCCTCACCGCCTGATCACCTCGCCCCCGCAGCAGGCCCCGCCCCCAGCACCTGTTCACCTCGCCCCTGCAACAGCCCCCCGGTTCCGGATCCCCCCCGTACCACGTACCTATCGCGGCTGTTGGGATTGGGATTGGCACAGCCCCGCCCCCTTCCCGCCATGCTGATGACGATTGGGCACCGGCCCTCCGGCGGAGGAAGGTGATTGGCTGGGCTGGGGCGGGGCTGAACCAGGGGTGGGATCTTGTGGCCCTTCACGCGCTGTGATTTCCTGCCGGGTGACGCGGCCACGGCTCCACCCCCCGCCTCCCAGGGCAGGGCAGAGACCTAGAGCCGTCAGCGCCGGCGGGGGCTGGGAGGCAGGACTCCTGGGTTCTTTCCCTGCTCTGGGAGGGGAGTGGGGGTAAGAGCAGGGGACAGGCAGGTCTGCTGGGTTAGAGCGGGGGGCTGGGAGCCAGGACTCCTGGGTTCTTTCCCTGCTCTGGGAGGGGAGTGGGGGTAAGAGCAGGGGACAGGCAGGTCTGCTGGGTTAGAGCGGGGGGCTGGGAGCCAGGACTCCTGGGTTGTAGCCTCACTTGGGGAGTGGGGTCTAGTGGTTAGACTGGTGGCAGGGACTGGGGGCTAGGGCTCTGGTGTCCTTTCCTGGCTTGGGGAGGGCAGTGGGGTCTAGTGGTTAGAGGCTGGGGGCAGCTGAGAGCCAGGACTCCTGGGTTCTATCCCAGCTCTGTCCTGCAGTTGTTCAGAGCACGGATTTATCCTCCCATCAGTGTCCCACACAGGTGTGACCCTACTGGCCTGTGGCCCGTGGCTCCCTGCTGTCAGTGTGAGGATGGGCCTGCCTGGCCTGTGCTGGGTGTTGGTTTGGTTGGGAGGAGACTCTGCTATTGGGTGCTCTCCCCAGTAAGATGCTCGGAGGGGCAGGGACTGGTGACTTAGCGCAAGAGCCCAGCGCTGCCACTGCCCTCCTAGGCCCTAACCCTGCTTCAGTCAGCAGGGCTTGGCCTGGGCCCCCTTTGTGTGGTGGTGGGGGGGGGTCTGGCTGCCCCAAGTCTTAAACCTGCTAGCCCACCCACTCGGCTCTGCACCCCACAGCTGAGGTGACCCACAGAGCTTGGTGTCTCTCGGCACTCGGCCCCTCACCCAGCAGCTTTGGAGTCCGTCTTGCCTGTGTCGCTACCCGTGGGCGCCTTCCCTGGGGTGTCTCTGTTTGTGTCCATGTTGTTACCCTGGAAGGTGTTAGTGGCTTTCAACAAACGTGTCTTTGATCTATAGAAAGTCAAAGAACTGGTTAAAGTCAATGGCTGTGCTAAGCACCTGTCATTCAGGCCAAGGGAATAGAGCAATTAAATGTCCCTTTGTGTAGTGGTAGCTGGAAACAGCAGGAAATCACTGTCCAAGGCAATGAACCTCACTGCATTGAACCCTTTGTGGGGTGATAAGCTGGAAACAATAGGAAGGCAATGAGGCTCACAGCAAAGCTAATCACAAGCCAAGGGGTTTCCATTGGATTGATTGCAAATGTTGGGGAGCAAGAAGAAGAATGGATTGGTTGTGTGTGTGTGAGCAAAGAGAGCAGCCAGGCTGCAAGAGATGCAGCAGAGAGTGGGGCCCTAGAGGAAGCAGAGACTGGGCTGCCTTTGGGCAGGGAGCTCACTGGAGCGGCAGAGTTGGATTTCTGAGCAGGGACTTGCCTCCTGTTTGTCTCTGCTGGGCGCAGGGGACCAGACTCTGCCTGCGTTCTTTGGGCAGAAACAGGATTGCACCAAAGAACAGCCCTGATGCGTAGCCTCCATTTCTGCTTCTAATAGAAACAGCCTGGCAAGGCCTGAATGAACCGCTGGGGCCAAAGGGGGGACAGTGTTTTCAGCTGTAAAGGGAAGAGGAAATACCCCACAAATGTTACACCTGGCATGGTGTGTTTGGGGGGGCACCCTGCTGGGGCTGAGGGGGTGAAGGGTTAATGCATCCTGTGAACCTTTCATTTTCTCCAGCCTGCTGGATTGGGCCTAGGAGTTCGGTCCCGTTCATTCAGAGCAGAGGTGCTGTCCCAACACCATGTCTGTACTGCAATAAAACACCCACAGCTGACTCAGGCTCACAGGGCTCAGGCTATGGAGTTAAAAATAGCAGGGCAGATACCCAGGCTGGGGATGGAGCCTGGGCTCCAGGACCATCCCCACCCCCATACCCCAGCCCAAATGGCTACACCCCAATTGTACAGCCCCACGAGCCTGAGTCAGCTGAGCAGGGTGGTGCTGGCTAGTAGATGGGGGGGCACTGAGCAGGACCAGGCTTGCTGGGGGCCACTGAGCGGGGCTGGGCCGGCCAGGGGATGGGAGGGCACTGAGCAAGGCCAGGCTGGTCAGAGGATGGGGAGGAGGGCACTGAGGGGGCCTGGCTGGCCAGCAGATGCGGAGGCACTGAGGGGGCTGGGCTTGCCAAGGTAGGGGCACTGAGGGTCCAGGCTGGACAGAGAATTGGGGGGCACTGAGGGGGCTGGACTGACCAGAGGAGGGTGGGGGGGTACTGAGCAGGGACGGGCTGGCTGCAGGGGGCACTGAGCAGGGCTGGACTCATCAGGGGATGGGGTGGAGGGGCACTGAGGGGGCCTGGGGTGCCCAGGGGATGGCACTGAGGGGGCCTGGGGTGGCCAGGACTTGAGAGATCCCACAGGGTTGCTCTGCTCCAGGTTCTCTGTCCATTCGAAGTCTTTCTCAGCAGAGGGCCTCTGCTACCCTGACTTGGACACCCCCAAGGGTGGGCTGGGCCCAGAGGCCTCACTTGAGTGTTGCAGGGGAAGGACTGGGCCCTTGGATAAATGACAGTGCCCCAGTGTCCCACCCCGGCTGGCCTCAACAGGAAACCCCAGAGAACAGGGACCAAGGCACCCACTCTCCAGAGCTGCTGGGCACAGGGACGGGATGCCAGGGCCTGCCCAAGTGTCCCAGCACAGAGGCAAAGTCTGTTCCGGGCCTGCATTAGCAGGGGCAGTTGGTCAGTGCCAAGGTGTGCGTGGGCCGGGCAGTCCCCTTGCCCTGCTGCCCTCCATGCACTGATGCCCCCATGTCTCTCTGTGGGTTCTCTCCTCAAGGATCTCCACAGTTGACAATGCCCCAACGGGGTTACCTTCCTCCACACTCACGCAGTGCTGACCCACCAGGCTCCTGAGTAAGAGGGGCACAGGAACCCCCAGCCTCGCTGGCGTTACCTCTTCTCTGCACAGCACCCAGCCTGCTCCCTGCCAGGGGTTTGCACAACTGCTGTGCTGACGGTGCCCAGCTGCTTGGCATTCCTGATGCATCACCCTGCCGTGATGAGCCTGATGCTGGTTCAAGGGTTAGTTTTATTTGTGTAGAGGTACCAAAGTCTACAGGGTTCAGCCTGGGGCAAGGTCCCCTGAGCTGGAATCCACGGGGATGGGAGAGGCCCCATCCAGTTCCTCTCCTGGGCCCAGAGCAGGACTCACCCACCGCCTATGCTGCCCCTAGCGGGAGCCTGGCATCCACACTGGCCAGCAGGCATGGTAAGCATCACTGCCCTGCCCGCCTGCCCGAGGATAACATGGCAGAGCCGGTACAGCTCTGTCCTGGGCAGCTCCATCCCACAGCTGCCTCCAGCCGCATGCTCTCTGCCATCATGACTGCTCCCCAGCCAGCTAGGGAATCCCCTGCCCTGTGGCATGCTGCCCCCTGGCACTGGCTGTCCCAGATTGCTGTCCTATCCCACATTACCACAGCTCTTGTTACCTGCCCCCCCAGGGTGTGTGTGTATGTGTGTTCCCACGGCCGTGTGATGACCCCCCGGGTGTCAGCTGCATTGGAGCAGGTTCCCTCCTGCTCATGTTCTAGCCCCTGACCGTTGCTCTGTCCTCACAGCTCCTCCCAATTGAGTGCCCCCTTGACCCAGCAAGCAGTTAAATTGGATGGGCTCTCAGCCCACCCCATGTGGCACCCCCTGCGCCCCACCCCGCAGCTCCTCCCATGTTTGCCAACCAGTAGGGGAGCATTGACTACAGCTGTGTGGGACTGGCCTCAGGATGCCTGGGTTCTGCAGTGCCTCAGTCAGTCACTCCAGCATTGATCAGGAGTAGGGGGTTATCCAGGCTCGGGAGCCCTGCAATGGGTTGGGAAGGAGGCCACTGACAGGGGTCAGCAGAGCCTCATTTAAAGGGAAGCAGCGTTTGGGGGTGGCACAGAGCCTCCAGGAGGTTCAGGAAGCACCAATGCCCAGTGCCAGTGCCAGTGGTTGGAAGGCACAGGAGCAGAGCCCTAACCCTGTGACCCAGTGCAGCCAGCAGAGGGGGGCAGAGAGCTGCAGCAGGGGGTTTAGTGTGGGGCACACAGCAAACAGCCCCTTCCTGGAGAGGTCCAGGCATGGAGAGGTGG